TACACGTTGTTTCATGTTGTTTACACGTTGTTTACATGTTGTTTACACATTGTTTACACGTTTACATGTTGTTTACACATTGTTTACACGTTGTTTCCATGTTGTTTACACGTTGTTTACACGTTGTTTCCATGTTGTTTCCATGTTGTTTAAATGTTGTTTACAGTTTGTTTACACGTTGTTTCCATGTTGTTTACACGTTGTTTACACGTTGTTTCCATGTTGTTTACACGTTGTTTACACGTTGTTTCCATGTTGTTTCCATGTTGTTTAAATGTTGTTTACAGTTTGTTTACATGTTGTTTACACGTTGTTTCCATGTTGTTTACACGTTGTTTCCACGTTGTTTCCATGTTGTTTACACGTTGTTTACACGTTGTTTCCATGTTGTTTACACGTTGTTTCCATGTTGTTTCCATGTTGTTTACACGTTGTTTCCATGTTGTTTACACGTTGTTTCCACGTTGTTTCCATGTTGTTTACACGTTGTTTACATGTTGTTTCCATGTTGTTTACACGTTGTTTACACATTGTTTCCATGTTGTTTACATGTTGTTTCTATGTTGTTTACATGTTGTTTACACATTGTTTCCATGTTGTTTACACGTTGTTTACACATTGTTTCCATGTTGTTTACATGTTGTTTACACATTGTTTCCATGTTGTTTACACATTGTTTACACATTGTTTCTATGTTGTTTACATGTTGTTTCTATGTTGTTTACACATTGTTTCCATGTTGTTTACATGTTGTTTACACGTTGTTTACACATTGTTTCCATGTTGTTTCCATGTTGTTTCCATGTTGTTTCCATGTTGTTTCAGTGTTGTTTACATGTTGTTAACACGTTGTTTCCATGTTGTTTACATGTTGTTTACATGGATTTGTCACTAGTGGTGAAACTAGCCTGACAGAATGAATAGATCCAGACGTCTTAAAAAATGAAAAACAAACTGAAGAGAACAAGTGTGAGACAAGGACCTGTCAACAGGAACTGGATCAGAGGGAAACGGGCCGAGACCAAAGGAAACAAGAACAAAATGATTAAACTACAAAACAGCTGAAAATCTGAAGCTTGTAAAAATCAGAAAAGAACAAGTAGCAGAACAGTTTCAGGTAGAATGACCTGTGTGTTTACCTGCCTGCAGAGCCCCCACGCTCTGACAGGAAGCTGAAGGAGCGAATATCAGAGCTTCAGGAGAGGAGGCGGAGCCTGCAGACCCAGCTGAGTACACGACTGGCTGAGCTTAGGCGCATCTGTCTGCAGGAAGCTGTGAGTGATGTCATCAGAGCAGAAGGAGTGTGATTGGTTCACTCACAGGGAGCTGTTCCACCTAACTGTGTCATAATATCAGGGATGTTTCCTTGGTTTTCATTGGTCAGGAGCTGACAGGTGCAGTGCCCAGTGACTTTCCCCTGGAGGTGGGCGAGAAGCCCCCATGTGTTCGGAGACGAGGTGGAGTGTCCTGCTCAGGGAACAGGAAGTGTCGAGTGGAGGTGAGTGTCTGTGTGTGTAGTTCAGGTTGTATGATTGACACAAATGAAGGTTTGAACAGATAAAAACAACAAGTAGGTAAAGATGATGTTTGGACTGCGACATGTATCATTACACATTGTGTATCATGACACATTGTGTATCATTGTGTATCATGATACACAATGTATCAGGATACACAATGTATCATGACACATTGTGTATCATGATACACAATGTATCATGACACATTGTGTATCATGATACACAATGTATCATGACACATTGTGTATCATGATACATTGTGTACACAATGTATCATGTTACACAATGTATCATGATACGTGTATCATGACACATTGTGTATCATGACACATTGTGTATCATGACACATTGTAGACAGTCGCTCTTTGACTGTTCCCTGTTCAGAGCTCAGTGACTCAGCTGGTTCTGGGTTGTTGCTTCATCGTTACCCAAGAAGCTCATTTTTCTTTGACTTTTCCATCATGGCAGCCATCATAGAAGCTTCAGATGTCTGGTTCCAGTCAGGCTTAACTGGGAGGAGACCCCGGGGACGAGCCAGGACACGGTGAAGAGACCGTGTCTGAGAAAACCTTGGAGTCCTTCCAGAAGATCTGGAGAGAGAGTGGTCTGGACCTCCATGATCAAGCTGCTGCCCTGAGACCTGACCCATCTCAGCTGATTCTGTCAGTTCTGGTTCCATTTCACTTCAAACTCTGGTTTTGTACCAGAGGTCTGGGATCTTCAGAGTCCTGTTCTGATCTTAGCTGTTTGTAGGATGGATTTCTTCTGGACAGAGACCTCTGAGGTTGTTCTGGGGTCTGTTGGAGCCACTCTTCCAGTTTGGGGGTCACAGCACCGAATGCTGCAGTGACCACTGGGACCACTGACACTTTGAGTCTCCACAACTTTCAGTTTTTGGTATTTGTCCTGCTGGTCCTTCTCCCTGATGTTCCAGTCACTTTGAATTTCTACATCTGTACATCTGACTTCTCCTGTTGGTTAGCCATCGGCTGTTTGTTGGTCTGGATCTTAAAGTCCCACAGAGTCTCAGCTCTTCCATTCTCCACCTGACTGTGAGCCCTCCAGTCCATCCTCAGCACTGTGTGTGTGTGTGGTGTGGGGGGGGGGGTCTAACTGGGACGTAGCGCAGTGGTCACATGGTCTTAGTATGGGACAGTTCATGCTTCAGTCCTTGATATTTGTCCAGCTTCTGTTATTCCTAAGAGTCTGCTGCATGTCGGTGTTGGTGTCAAACCAAGGCCAACCAAAAGGAAGTGATCAGTCTGGTTTCTTTGTGCGTTTCTTTCAGGAGGATGATGGTCAGCGTTTTAAACCAAAGAAAACTTTATTCAGTGGAGCTCTGAGGAAACACAGCGACTCTGAACACAATACACACACTCAAACACACACACACCACGGCAAGAGGACCGTGCACAGAGGCTGCCACACAGGTAACACACACACACACACATCCTTGTAATTGCATCAAACTGAGGACATTGTATTGACTTCCATTCATTTTGTAACTGTCTTTGTGCCGAACCCAGACATTTTCCCTAAAACTAACCATTACTGGTCTATAGTTAACACTAACCTGAACCAGAACTTAACTCACACCATACCTCTAAACCTAACTCGTAAAATTAACCATTACTGGTCTATAGTTAACACTAACCTGAACCAGAACTTAACTCACACCATACCTCTAAGCCTAACTCGTAAAATTAACCATTACTGGTCTATAGTTAACACTAACCTGAACCAGAACTTAATTCAAATCATACTTCTAAACCTAACTAGAAAAGCTCAGCAGAGCTGCAAACAAAATGAGGACATTGAAGAGGTCCTCACTCTGTAGTAAAAATAAGTATACACTCACACACACACATTGTTGATGATGGTCTTATCTCTCTGACCAATCACAAAACCAAAGGTCAGAATAGACTAAATATCTCAGAACCTCCAACAGAATGTGCTATGTTGTCGGGGGCTTTATGCCCCTGGTAGGATCACCCAAGGCAAACATGTCCTAGGTGAGGGATCAGACAAAGTGCAGCCCAAAGACCCCTATGATGAGTATTACAGATGGACTTAGTGTTCCCTCGCCCGGATGTGGGTCACCGGGCCCCCACTCTGGAGCCAGGCCTGGAGGTGGGGCAT